GAGAGTAGATTTAGGTTAGACATTAGGAAGAAATTTTTTACAGTAAGGGTGGCCAGAACCTGGAATGGGTTTCCAAGAGAGGTGGTACTATCACTTAACTTGGAGGTCTTCAAGAGGAGGCTTGATAGACACCTGGCTGGGGTCATCTAACCTCGGTCCTCTTTCCTGCCAGGGGCAGGGGGTCGGACATGATGATCCATTGTGGTCCCTTCCGACTCTACAATTTATGAATCTATGTATTTAAACCCTCTGCACAGACAAGGAACATGGTGATCCTAAGCCCCCACCCCTCCACGCCCCCCATCCCGCCACTCCCCATGAATGTCTATCCAGCCTGTGCAGTATGTTTATGCTGATTTAGCCTGGGATGACCCATGAACTCTGTACTCAACACTGAGACTGTCCAAGGTGAGGCCTGGGGTCCTATCACAGAGCTGAATATGTCTGAGTAAGCTCAACCTGATGCAGCAGCTGAATGAAGTCTGAGGCCCTCACTCAGCACCTTTCAGCACTGTGTGCATCTGAGCTAGGCAGGCGAGGGGGGCTGGGGAGAGGAAATCTGGGCCTGTACTTACTGAGCAGAGTGTGTGAGAACCAACTTAGCCTGAAGAAGCACTGAGTGAGGTCTGGGCCACTTTTTTGCAGTCCAGAGAACTCATCAATATCTAAATCAGATGCCTGGAAGTCACCTGGAGATCCCGATCTTTATTCGTATCTGCAGGAAAGGGGGGAAGAGGCCATACATGGGGGGTAAGAAGGGTTTTGCTCAGGTGGGAATCCCGCTCCTGTGTTTGCATGAATATTTCCATATAGCTCCTTGCTACCACAAGAGGGCAGCAAGGCACAAGCCTGGCAATGGCACTTTTGGGTCCTGGATATGCTTGTTGGCAGGGTTTGGGGCTCTGGCTGCACTGAAGCTACTGGCAGAAGCTTGAAGCAGTGAGTATCAGAGGGAGGCTGAAGAAGCAGGGGTGGAGCCATGGGTGGCTCAGTTAACCTGCAGAAGGAAGAGGATATATGTGGTGAAGAACCCCGCCACATGGACCTGGGCAATTGTGGGAACCCTGCCCAGTACAGAATGCTCCTGGGGCCCAGCATGGCCGAAACTTAGTTCCAACTCCTTCTCAAAATAAACCCCAGGGATTCTGGCTTCCAGCCCCCACCCCGCTGGCTTTAACAGTTAGAGCTCTTTGCTTACCCCCAGCTTGAAACAGAACAAACTCAGAAGTCCTGCCTCCCAGCTCAACTCCCTGCTCTCACCATCAGTTCCAACCCCCTTCCCAGAGGTGAGGAAAGGAATACAGGTGGTTTCCCAGGCCACCAAGACCAGTCCCCTATTTATGCAGGCAACAATTTGCCCATTAATTTTATCCTAAAAGTGTTTGCTCTAGCCCCACATGCATGCACACCATAGCTTGATATGGAAGGTTTTAAACTATATTCTGCAAGGGATGGTGAACAAAGCCTTCCAGCTATGGTGCAATTCCATTCAGGGAGAAGAGGGACTGGGATTAGAAGTCTATTTCTGTGGAAGATGTAGAGAGCCACAGAAGAACAAACAGAGGTGCGAGAAAAATGGGTAGGTCAAAATGCAAAGTTCTTTAGATGTATGGGCACAAATGCAAGGAATGTAGGGAATAAGCAGAATGACCTCGAAGTCATGGTCTGTAAAGAAAACTATGACTTCATTAGCATTACAGGGGCTTGGTGGGACAATTCCCATGACTGGAATATCAATGTGAGGGGTATATTCTGTTTTAGAACATCAGATTTGGGGAGAAAAGTGGGTGGTATCACACTATACATAAAAATATATGCTTGGTTCCAGGTCCAAAAGGAAGAAAGCAGAAAATTTGAGTATCTCTGGCTAAAGAAAATGTGAGGAAAGAATAGAGGTGATATTATGGTCAGGGTCTACTACAGAACTTCAAGTCAGGAAGAAAAGGTGAATGATGCACTCTTCAGGGAGGTAACAAGATTATGCATAAAATATGTGATGTAGTGAGGGGGGGATTTTAACTTCGCCAATATCTGTTGGTCAAATATTATCCTAATATGTGTGGAGGACAATTCCACTTCTAGAAAGCTGAGGAGGTGAGTAGGGGATCATCTATTGGACTCGTCAGGATGCAATTATTGAGAAGGTGAAGGTATTTGGGAACTTAGAAGGAAGTGATCACCATATGATAGAATTCAGGAGTCTAAGACAGGGAAAGCATGAGGCGTGCAGAACTAAGATAATGGATTTCAAAAGGGCAGATTTCAACCTACTCAGGGAAATAGTCAGGAAGGTCCCATGGGTAGATAGCCTGAAGGATAAAGAGGCTGAAGTGGCATGGCAGTTTCTAAAAGGCTCAGTACTGGATGCTCAACAAGAACATGGTATTTTAACATGGTAGCACTAGTATAACCAGCAGTGGACAACCAGGGCACTGGCCCTGGACCACAAGTAGAGATGGCTGTACCCTGTGCAGGAGAGATCATGCTGAAAAAAGGCACAGGGGTGTAGCTCTCTATGTCAAGGAAAGCTACATGTCCCTACAAGCTGGGATTGGCACCCATAGAGGACAACTGGAGACCCTCAGGGTTAAAATATGAGGGGAACGTGGTGAAAGTGATACAATGGTAGAAGTCTACTACAGACCTCCAAATCAGGAACAAGAGCTTGACCATGAATTCACCAGGGAACTAGCTGAGGCTGCACATTCTCGGTGCATGGTTGTCATGGGAGACTTCAGCTACCTGGACATCTCATGGGAAGAACACTCAGCCAAGTCCGATCAGTCACAAAGCTTCCTCACATGAGTGGATAAGCTCTACCTGTCTCAAGAACATTGGCAATGTGTAAGGGGTACGTGCAGGCAGTGCACCCCCTATGAAAAGGCACTGCCAACACTGTCGACGGTGCCTGTGGGCAGTTGCCCCTCACCAACCCTCTCCCCGCCCTCACCACTGACACCCCTGGTGGCGTCTGTGGGCAGTCAGCGATCACTGCTGGCTGCCACTGCTGCTGCTGGCGGCATCTCTGGGTGGTTGCTGACCCCTGGTCGGTGCTTGCCACCTCCCCACCCAGCAGTGCCAGGGGCATCTGTGGGAGCTCCTTGCTTACTGCCACTGTGCTCCCACCACCGCCAGTGCTGCCATGCCCTCCTGACTGCCGGGGGCATACGTTGTTCATGCTCAAGAAGTTTATGGGATGACAAGAGGTAAGGCACTGCTGGATCTGGTACTGGCCAAAAGGGATGATCTAGTCAGCGACCTAAGAATCGAAGGGAAGCTGGGAGACTGTGACCATGAGCTGATCACTTTTACTATCCATGGCAAAGCTGGCAAGTCAGTCAGCAGTGCAGAAGTGCTCGACTTTAGGAAAGCTGACTTTGAAAAGCTCACGAGCCTTGTTGTCAATGCCCTGGGAGGCCATGAGTTGCAAGGAAAAGGAGTTCATGATGAATGGTTGTTCCTAAAGGAAGCAAACCTAGAAGCACAAGGGAAGTACATACCAACCTATAGAAAAGATGGTAAAAGGGCACAGCAACTCCCTTGGCTCAACAGGGAACTTGTGGACCTCCTACATCTAAAAAGTGAGTCTTATAAAGGATGGAAGACAGGAAACACCACTAAGGAGGAGTATTCTGCACTGGTCCACACCTGTAGGGAGCGAACCAGGAAAGCCAAGGCTGTAACCGAATTCCAACTGGCTACACAAATCAAGGACAATAAAAAGTCCTTCTCCAGATATGTGGGGAATCAGAAGAAAAACAAGGGTAACATTGGACCCCTGCTAAACCAAAAGCTGACAACCGACACCCAGGAAAAAGCCAACCTGCTTAATGATTACTTTGCTTCGGTTATTCAACAGTCCAAAGGGACCACCATGCCTAACATGATGTGGGATGGCCAGGGTGAGGGTGAATATATGACCATCATTGGCGTAGACCTTGTAAAGGAACACCTTGAGAGGCTGGACACCCACAAATCAGCTGGTCCTGATAGACTGCATCCAAGCATGCTTAAGGAACTGGCAGACATCACAGCGCGGCCACTGGTAAAGTTATTTGAGAACTCGTGGCGCTCAGGCAAAGTACCTGAAGATTGGAAGAGGGCCAATGTGGTGCCTATCTTCAAGAAAGGGAGAAAAGAAGATCTGGGAAACTACAGGTCAATGAGTTTGACCTCAATCCCTGGAAAGATCTTGGAAAAAATTGACCAATCTCATTTCCTTCTATGACCAGGTAACACATCACCTGGACAAAGGGAAGAGGTTGATATCATATATCTGGACTTTAAAAAAGCCTTTGACCTGGTGTCCCATGATGTCCTCATGGAAAAATTGGCCAACTACAGCCTTGGCTGCACTACAGTCTGATGGCTGGGGAACTGGCTCCGAGGTCAGACCCAGAGGGTGGTAGTTGACGGAACTGAATCAACATTGCACTCAGTGACCTGTGTTGTCCTCCAAAGCTCCATTCTCGAACCTGTACTCTTTAATGTCTTTATAAACAATCTTGATTCTGGTGTCAGAAGCGGACTGGCCAAGTTCACAGATGACACAAAACTTTGGGGAAAAGCATCCACACTTGAGGATAGGCTGGTGATCCAGGGCAACCTCAATAGGCTTGCAAGGCGAGCAGATGAAAACCTGATGGCATTCAATATGGAGAAATGCAAGGTACTCCACCTTGGGGAAGAAAACCCGCATCACACCTATAGGCTCGGCGGTGCTATACTCGCTAGCACCATGACCGAAAGAGACTTGGGGAGCATGATTGACCACAAGATGAACATGAGCCACCATTGCAATACTGTAGCTGGCAAAGTGAACAAAACTCTGGCTTGCATCCACCGATGCTTCTCAAACAAGTCTCAGTATGTTATCCTCCCATTGTACTCAGCCTTGGTGAGGCTGCAGCTGGAGTTCAGCATCCAGTTCTGGGCTCCACAATTCAAAAAGGACATGGAGAAGCTTGAAAAGAGTCCACAGGAGATCCATGCACATGATCAGAGGGCAAGATAACAGGCCTTATGGAGAGAGGCTGAGAGCCATGGGGCACTTCAGCCTGGAGAAGTGAAGGCTCAGGGGTGACTTAGTGGCAGCCTATAAGTATATAAGGGGTGTGCATCAGGATCTGGGGGAACACCTGTTCACCAGAGCACCCCAAGGGGTGACAAGGTCCAACAGTCACAAACTCCTCCAAAACCATTTTAGGTTGGACATAAGGAAAAACTTTACTGTCTGAGCCCCCAAGGCCTGGAACAAACTCCCCCCAGAAGTGGTGCAAGCACCTACTCTGGACTCTTAAGAAACATTTGGATGCTTATCTTGCTGGGATCCTTTGACCGTAGCTGACTTCCTGCCCCTTGGGTAGGTGGCTGGACCCAATGATCTTGTGAGATCCCTTCCAGCCCCAATGTCTATGAAATCTAAGAAATAGTAAAAAATTGCAGGGACCAAAGCAGGAAAGCAAAGAAAAAAATATTTATATCTGGCCAGGGAAGTTAAGGACAACATGCAGGGGTTCTGAAAATGTGTTGAAGACAGAGGCACAGCAGAACAGATCCACTCCTGAAGCAGCCAACAATGCATGGGGTAGTACCAACTCCTGCTGTGCCAATGGTGATGGTGCAGTCAGCTGCCACTGCAGCAGCACCTGCTTTTGTACCCTCGCAACGAAGGCAGTGCCAGGGGCTTTTGACCCAATTGCCCCCTTCAGTTATATTACTGGTTGGATGGAAGAAAAAGATATAGGAAGCTATGAGTCCACTGCTTACTAGCTCAGGTATGCTATTAACAGAAGTTGGAAAGGGAACACTTCAACAGATACTTTGTCTTGATCTTCACAAATCCTCCTCCCCCTCCCCCCCCCCAAACAAAACCTTGCAACCAGACAGCTACTAAAATGTGTATAGACAAAGAAGGGGAAAGACTGAGGGTGATGATAACTAAAGAGATTTTTAAAGAATGTTTTATTATTGTGAATTAATTTAAGTCAGCAAGACCTTAATGAAAATTCTCCCATGTTCTGAAGGAACTAGTAGAAGGGATCTTGGAGCCATTTTTAATATTTTCAAAATCATGGGACACAGATGAGATTCCTGAGGACAGGGAAAGGGCTAACATAATGCTCATTTTTTAAAAGGGGAAAAGGAGGTCCCAAGGAATTACAGATTGGTCAGCCTGGCTTCAATATCCAGGAAGTTACTAGAGCAAATTATAAAGAAGTCAATTTCTAAACATCTGGAAGAGAAACCAGTGACAACTAGCAGGTAGCCTGGATTTGTTGCTAACAAATCATGCCAAACCAACTTGATTTACTTCTTTGACAAAGTAACTAGTCGAATTGATGAAGGGAATGCAGTGGGCATAGTGTACTTGGACTTCAGTAAGGCTTTTGATAAAGTCCCACGTGACATTCTCAAGAGTAAACTGCGGATATTTGGACTAGATAAAATTACTGAGAGGTAGATGTATAATTGGCTTGATAACTACAAACAAAGGGTATTGATAAATGGATCCATGTCAGAATAGCAGGAGGCTTAGCAAGAGGCTTCTTATGGGGTTCTAAAGGGGTCTGTCCGGGTCTAGTGCTATTTACCATGTTTGTTAATGATTTGGAATAGAGAGCTTCCTAATAAAGTGTGTAAATAACATGAAACGGGAAAGGATTTCAATGGCTTTGAATCTCAGCAAAGTAGGTTAAGATTAGATCTCAAGAAAAAAAAAACTTCCTTAATGCTAGAACAGTGAGGCATTCAATCAGCTGCCCTGTGGAAGTTGTGGAATCTCCTTCAATGGAGGTTTTCAAGAGAAAGCTGGATAAGCATTGGACAGGGATGATTTAGCAGTAGTCAATCACATTCTTGCTGGAGGTTGAACCAGATAACCCTGAAGACCCTTTCCAGCCCTCTGATTCTGTGGTTCTAAACACAAACCCCAGTGCTGAGACCCCCAGTGCCCTGCTGCTTTAATCATCATGGCTCACTCCTCTTCCAGAACCCTGGGAGTGCCATATCTCCCTGGCTGTGGGCACGCACCTGGCAGACTACGCTTATGTCCTCACGATGGCTGCAGTCATGGTAGCCCCAGATGCGGTGGGCACAGTTCTGCAGGGTCTTCTCCTCACCTTTGCAACGGACATCATCCAGCCAGATCCTTCCAGTGCCCTGGCGAAAGCGGGTCCTCTCCCACACCAGTTGGGATACTGGCTCAGCCTGGCCACAGCCCAGCTCTCTGCACACTACCTCTGCATTCGGCATGGCCCAGTGATCATCACATACCGTGCCCCACTCCCCATCATGCTGTACCTCCAGTCGCCCAGAGCAGGCCCGTGGGCCATCCACAAGCCTCAGTGCAAAGGGTTCTGCAGAGAAAGGGAGAGAGAGCTGGGAGGGGGCCCAGTGATATGCTTCCCCCAGGGTGCATGGCCTAGCTGAACAAAAGGGCCCCCACTGATGCTGGCCCTTTCCTTGAATTACCACTGGCACTGGTATTTGCATTCAGTGCTCCTCACCCAGCTGTGAGGTGAGAAGCTACTGTTGTGTTCACTCAGGGTCGCTTTGTACAGTACCTTAAAAAGCCCAAGGGACCTTAAGGGTCAGGGGCATTCTTGCTCCTGGATGCCTCAAACCGGGCCTGCTAGAGCCATGCCTGTTGCAGAGGGGAGGGAGGGAAAATTAGGCTCTGCTAGCCTGTGACATGTTTATTCTAAGGGACTCCCGTTTGATGCTCAGGGCAAAGCTCAATGGAGTGCTGGGACTCCATGCTGGGGGGCTAGGGGGTTAGGCAGCCAGAGTGGAGGGAGATGCTGCCTCAGGGCTAAGTACCAGTTTTGCTTTCTCACCTCGGCACACGACCCCAGCATGCAGGTAGCTGGGACAGGGCAGTTTCTCCCAGGACTGGTTTTGGCAATGGGTCAAGGAGTCCTCCTTTCCAGTGCACTCCAGCTGGCCCAGCAAAACAGCGTCTGAGCTGGAGTGGAAATTGCTACAGCGGTTGGTGATGCGTTGCGGTCTCCCACAGGCCAGCTGCCGGCACAGCACTTTGGCATCGGTCAGGTCCCAGCCATACCCACACACAGCGCCCCAGCGATTCTTATGGTAAACCTCCACCTGCCCACGGCAGCGTGTGGCACCTCCTACCAGTCGGACAGGCAGCACTGTGTACTCTGCAGCTGCAGATAGAGGGGAGAGAAGTGATCAAGGAGACATCAAGACAACTATTAAAGGGGCTTCAGAGACTGATTTACCAGAGCCAGGAACAGAATCCTGAGGTCTGCTCCAAGCCCCTAATCTAACCATTGAATATCACTGCCCTTTCAGAGCCAGACAAGCTAAGGAGTTCTGACTGAGAAGCATGATGTCAAATATGCCTTCAATGTACTTGTGACGGGGCACCAAGTCTGCCTCATCACAGTCAAGATTTTCTGGTCTTTAATCAGGATATCATCACTCATCTCTTCACCTATGGCTCCCAAGGAATATGAACCGGTTACCCCAGCTTGCAATGAAGGGCTCAGGGCACAGGACTGGGAAGGTTGGGGAGTACACAAGGGGGCCATCCCCATTGCAACCTTGCTGTCTGCATTTGAAAGCTCAGGGGCTCTCTTCATAGTTTTCATAGACATTAGGGCTGGAAGGGACCTTGGGAGATCATTGAGTCCAGCCCCCTGCCCCAAGGGCAGGAAGTCACCTGGGGTCATAGGATCCCAGCCCTTCATCCCAGGGTCAAAGGATCTTGCCATTGCCCTTTCCATAGCTTTGCATGCAAGGGCCCTGGCAGTCTGTGAAGGTCCTGCTCATTCATCTATCTTGTGGCTGCTGCTCTGCTGCAATTCTTAGAGAGGTCATTGGTAAGTCTTGTTTATTTTGTAATGGGAGGCTGTTTTCCTGGAAATGACCAACACTCCGGTCATGACAGCAGAGGTGGTTGGACTCTGGCCCTGTACATGATGTGGGATGGAGAATAAAGCCCAACCTCTGCCCTGCCCCAGGCAAGTCCCATAGACTGCGACCTCCTGCCCTGGCTGGCAGTGCAACTAACAAGGCTTTCCCATAAAAGCCAAGCTCTCCCCTCCAGTCTCAGGGCCTTTGCTCTGCCCTGCAGGCCTCACCTTGGCACTGAGCCCCTGCATCCTGGCTATGGTCACAGTCCTCAGGTTCTTCAAAGTGGCAGTGTTTCAGTGACTTCTCTGTCCCTTGGCATGCCACGTTTGTCATCAGGATGGGACTGGATCCAGCACCTAGGCCAGATCTGAAGGCTTCTTTGACCATCCCGCAACCCAGCTGCTTGCACACGACTTCCGCATCTGTCTTGTCCCAGCCTTCAGTGCACACAGTGCCCCAGTATCCATTCACAAGCACTTCCACCCGCCCGGCACAGGGTCCTGGCACCAGCCTGACCTCTGACACAGAAAACACAGGTGGCAGGACTCTTGCCCTGGATGCAGCAATCCCACCAGGAGGGAATCAATGGGAAGATAGGACTTGCACAGCACACGGAGTTGTCAGGGAATGCATTTGCTAGGCAGCGTGATCCCTGATGAATGCAATGGTATAACTGGAGGGCCAGAGGGTAGCGAGGTACCAGCACCAGGCACCATCTTAGAGGGGACGCCGGAATCACTCCCCACACCCTGGCTTTCTGCCACAGCAGGACTAG